GATAACTAATTTGCGCTGAAGATGACTTGATAGAAGCCGAAACGTTCGCGAAGGATTTAATGTAAAGAATATTGGAATAAACCAAGAATATATACGCACCAAGAACTGCGTGGGACTCTTAACTGCCTTTGTCATCTGTTTAAAATAAATATACTTTAATTTAAGCTATGCAAAAGTGATAAAGAAAGTCTTACTGCAACGATAGACACATATTTATTGTGTTATCATATACAGAAATTACTTTCTGTTTGATTAACTTTTCCCTTATAAATTAAAAAGTATAGCAGACATATTCCGCTAATACTAAATCTCCTGCAGCAGATAAAATATATTTATTAAAATATTTTCTCTGAAAAATTATTTTTTTGTTATAGACATCTTTTTTGAGCCTTTTTTGCCTTTTATCAGAAGCATGGTGACTCATTTCTGTGCGATTTACAATTTACACAGATACCTATATACGGGACCTACAATTTTGACACCTATTCGAATGGACTAATGAGAGGGGTCTTTATGGCAAGATATACTCTCGGTGATTTGCCATTGCTTTCCGAGATAACCATTGAATAAAAATCTAATGTTTCTGGTCGGATTTGAAACTTGGATCTGCAGCACAGAAAGCAGACGTACAACTCTGCGCCACGATCGCTACATACATATCTCACATCTCTTCATAAATCATAGATCTTATATGCATAATACTTTTATCTTAAACCTTCTACAAATACAGACATGAGTAATATCCAATTTATTTTATCACCAAGACCTGTAGTTTTTTATTTTCTGGTTTAGGTACTTAAGCAAATCTTATCTGATTAAAATGTAAAAGTTGTATTTTGCTCTGTGATTAATCATAAAACTAATGATTTTCTAGTTGTAATTTTACAATTATCCCTACAGAACTATCAGTTTAATGATTAACCATTGATAGCAAAAAAACTCTATTTTATATTATCATCAAGTTGAACTTAAATCACAATTTAATTACAAAATACAAAATCAAGCTAGGTACATTTATTTTCTGATGTGTTGCAAGAAATGATAACGATACTACGTTAGATATGAATCTGACAAACATGTTATATAATTCTCTTCATATGTCTGTAAACACTGTCAGTGACAGATTCGGAGAAGTTCTTGCGTACATATCTTCATGAACACTGCTTCTTATAATCGACATGATACTGGACGTGAACACACTCGAGTAAAATTCCAAACGTTACAATTGACTTCGTGAGAGTAGAAGCTACTGATCGAATCATGTCTTTTAAGAATCTGAAAGTCGAACGCGTCGAGGGTGAGCTAGCGGCTGCATTAACAAATTGGTATCCATTTCACAAGCGCGGCTTTATTAAAGTCGGTCAGAAAAAATGGTTCCTACCATACAGATATGCCGAGGATGGTGGTGCTATATACGAATTCAAAATTCGTCCGGACGATACATGGATCGTCACCTACCCTAGATCAGGTAATTTATTTTCAATATTTATTTAATAATATTATCTTGTCTCGCGATTCTCTATACTTTCTGAGTTGTCGAAAAGGGGAAATGCACGATATATTTGTCAAACACAAATTTTATAACAAACATTTTAAAGCTTCTATTTGCAAGCAAATGCGAAAAACCAAGTATATATAATACAGCACAAAGTGGGATCAAGGTATTATAAAAACGTTATGATAAAAACATTATAATTCGTAATCTATTTTGTTATGAAAATTTATTCGTATATTGAAACATAAACGTCCGGAAATTATTTTCTTATTCAAAACTACATGACTTTGTCTTATCTTTTTGTGATAAAATTAAAATCATAATAAAAATCAGAATAAAAATACATATGGCAAACAAAATAATTTTTTTTTATATCTAGAACATTATAAAAGCTTTGAACAAATTATGTATCAAGAGACACAGTATAAGTGATTTGATGTCAAGTGTTTAACTACTAGAAAAATTATATACATAATAATTTATTATTACATCAATTGCTTATTGTACGAGAAATCGCAATATTAGGTTTTATTTTTGAACAAAATGTTTCCAAAACTATCATGTATTTCATGCGTAGTGTAATTTGAAAAATA